TAAGTGAATCATGGCATTTGTTAAGTGAATCATGGCATTTGTTAAGTGAATCATGGCATTTGTTAAGTGAATCATGGCATTTGTTAAGTGAATCATGGCATTTGTTAAGTGAATCACAGCACTTGTTAAGTGAATCATGGCATTTGTTAAGTGAATCACGGCATTTGTTAAGTGAATCACAGCACTTGTTAAGTGAATCACAGCACTTGTTAAGTGAATCATGGCATTTGTTAAGTGAATCACAGTACTTGTTAAGTGAATCATGGCACTTGTTAAGTGAATCACAGCACTTGTTAAGTGAATCATGGCATTTGTTAAGTGAATCATGCAGTCATGAAGTGAAATCTGACTTCCTCCCCTTGATTGTGCTTGTCGGAAGCTGACTGGAAAGATCACAAACGATGATTGATTGTTGCAATCATCATAAATAAATATCAGTGGCCAAGCTTCCAAATGTTGATCATGTGATTGTGGAGATGACAGTTGTAAATGTGAGGACCGGATGTAAGTCGCCTTTTTCACGGCGGAAAAAACCAGAAAGTCCAGTTTCCTCGTGAAAAAGCACTTTTGGGACAATCGTGACCTCGATGGCTGAGAATTACCCATAGACTATTAACCCACCAATTGCTTTTATGGCTGTTCGACGTGGCTTCTGTGGCCACAGCCAAATTCACAGTAAACTCTGCTTCCAAAGGATAGAAAACCCCAGGGAAGACATCAGAGGTGGTATTCAGCAGGTTCTGACCAGTTCTGGAGAACCGGTGGCGGAAATTCTGAAGAGAGAACCAGCAAATACCACCTCTGGCTGGCCACGCCCCAATCTATTCTCTGCCTCCCGAGTCCCATCTGATCAGGTGGGAATGGGGATTTTGCTGTATCCTTCCCCTGCCAGGCCCACAGAACCATTAGTCAAAATTTCTGAATCCCACCACTGGCCCACCCACGATTTCCGCTACCGGTTCGGGCGAGCCGGTCGAAGCCGGCTGAATGCCGGAATGGGTATTTCTTGCAGTATAGAAATTCAAAGGAAATACATATTATTTACCTTGTGCAGCAATGAACCTGTTCTTCTCCTGATACCCCTGCAAGAACAGATGTGAGACAGGAATGGGGGGGGGGGAAAAAACCCAATGGTTTTATCTCTGGCGTTGGTCAAAGACCAAAAGTTTTGGCATCTTCTCCTACGGGGGTTAATTCTGTGCCTTGCAAATATTCTCACTGCTGTACGAACTATCTTACAGCTAGGAAAAATAAGATTTAACTGTGGATGACCTGACTCTAAGGGGTTAGAACAGATGAAGATGGCAACAAGAATCCACCACGACTTTTCTTCCTTCCCAAAACACCCAAGTCTCCCAGAATGCAGGTAGTCCTCAACTTACGACCACCACTGAGGCCAACATTTCCATTGCTAAGCAACACATCGGTCGAGGGAGTTTTGCCCCCCGTTTTATGAACCTTCCGAGCCGCTGTTGTTAAAGTGAATCCCCTGCACTTGTTAAGTTAGTAGCCCGGTCGTTAAGTGAATCTCGCTTCCACGCTGGGCTCTGCCTGTCGAAAGGGACCCCCGGGGACACTGCAACCGTCATAAATACGAGTCAGTTGCCAAGTCTTTGAAATTCGATCAGGTGACCATGGGGATGCTGCAACGGTCGTTAAGTGGGAGAAACGGTCGTAAGTCGTTTTATTTTCAGTGGCGCTGACTTTGAACGGTCACTAAATGAACTGTTGTAAGTCGAGGACTACCCAAACCTTGGGAATGTTGTTCCCAGCCTTTAGCAGACACTTACATTAATGAACGAGGCGTTGATATAGTCGGAGTCTGGAACCCCTTCAATGGGTGTCAGGTGGACTCTGGAATGGTCATCTAGAAGAGAGAAGGTGACCATGAACGCCAAATACATCAGGACAATGGAGGACCTTCAGTGAAAGTCAAACGAATCTCCAAGAAGGTCAACCTTCAGAAGGTCTGGTTTTCAGTGCAGAGAAAAACTGGACAAGTGACCACCCATTACCACCTATCATTGTTCTGCAAGATTCAATCTGAGTCATTGACTGGCATTAGACGTTTTATCTTCCGAGCTTTTCTCTTCAGCTACTAAGATTGTTGGACAAGCAGGCTCAAAAACAGCCTGATTGCAGCCTGGGAAACAGGAGCCTCATCCGTCTACAGGAATGTTGATTTAGGTAAAGGTAAAGGTTCCCCTCGCACATATGTGCTGGTCGTTCCTGACTCCAGGGGGTGGTGCTCATCTCCGTTTCAAAGCCG